AAGCTGGGTTGATTGCCTCCCTCATCGCCCAACCGGGACAGACGGATGCACCACCAACCGTAGAGCAAGCAATTGCTGCTCAGACTTGCAGAAAGGCCGTTACGAAGGCGGTTGATGGCAAATACCTCACTGTGTAGTAATCGACCAACCTACCTCCACGTCGCCGTACTGTGCTACCAGGGGGTGCCTCCACACGTCGTATCAGAATTGCACGCCCAGCGAGTTATGTAAGTCATGATGTACCTTTAGCTCTGAGCTTCACGGCTGCCATGCGGTACTGCATATGTCGACCCTGCCGTGCTGGGACGATGCAGGGCGCCAGTTGCGCGAACCAAACATATGTCCAGATGCCTGATGCGCGAGACAACTGAAAATGGCAAAAGAAAGGAAGTTCTTGCTTGTGTGTGTACCTGTTGTGTATGTGAATAATGTGTGGAAGGTTAGGCGACGAACGGTAGGAGAAGTACCTGACAGCTTGTGGTTGGTATCTTTTTTGGGGGAGAGGGGGGAGTCGATTCGCTGCCATCCTCCGCCCGCCCCCCCAAGCAAGAGCAAGGAAGGTACTTCCCGCCGCGCCGCTCGCACCGGGACAGGCCAGGTACTTCTCTCTTGCTCTCTCTCTCTCTCTCTCTCTCTCTCTCTCCTACGGAGCACTTTCCCAAGTCCCACGCCAACACCAATTTTCTTCTCCTGCGGTCTGCGTCGACCTCCCTCCTACCTTTCCATCACCTTTCCCTCTTTTTGGTTCCTTCCTCCTTGCCCCTACCGAAATCCTCCCATCTCCTTCTCTCCCCTTTTCGAGCTGCAAGGACAAAAGGCATTTCGACACGAGGACCCGTCAATTTCGTCCTCGTTTCCCTTTTCCCCTTGCCTGCTTGTTGCCGCCGCATCTTCCGCTTCGGTCTGTTTTTTTTTCTCTCTCTTTTGCTGTGCACTTCACTTTGCTCGGCACCTCTCCTGAAGCTTACTTGCCGGGAACCACTTCCGTCCCCTCCCCCGAGCATCCGTCGTTTGTTCGAGTCGTAACCACTGCAACATCCTCTTGTCTGCAGTTGCAAAGAATACAGCTCTCTGAAGCATCGACTGGTCTTCATCTAGGCATCGTCTCCGCCATTATTTTTTATTGTGCAACGCCTCGTCGTCTGTCGTGTCGTCGCCGTCCTGCTGCCACAATGTCTGGTCCCCAAGCTGGTAACCAGCTCAACATTGATCGCTATGTCGTGATCCACGTCGCAACCACCTGCGATGAGCATGGAGTCTACGTCACTAAAGACTCTGCCGAGGTTATCGAGCTTGGCTGGATCCTCCTTGACGCAAAGTCTCTTGAGGAGGTACGTTGGCCTCCTTGTCTTGCCTGAGTCGAGCCTTGCTGGGCCCACCTAGCCCTCTTCGCCATCACACTCACAGCTGACCGAACCTCTCTTCAGATCACCCGCGAGAGCGTTCTTGTCAAACCCATCAACACTCCGATCACACCCTTGTGCAGTAAGTCGTCACACGAGGCTTGAGACCTCGTCATCTCCCCGTCACGTCATACGACGGCCTACCTTGGGTTCGCTGATGACAACGGGAAAAATTCCTCGCTAACATGGGATTTTTCTTCTTTAGCGAGCTTGACGACCCTGACGTGGGAACATGTGCGTAACGCCGGAACCTTCCGCGATGCCATCAACCGATTCGACACTTTTGCCAACGAGCATCTGACCTCGCAAAACCTCGATTTCGTCTTCGTTACGCTTGACGCTTGGGATCTCCGCGTCCAGTTGCCCCGGGAGGCCCGAGATAAGGCCGTAGTGCTGCCTCCGTACCTCCAGCACTCTCGTACTTTCGATCTGCGAACCGAGTACCAGCGATGGCAGCAGCATCACCCCGAATCGCTGCCCTTTGGGCCCTCAATGCTGTCCAATATCTGTGCCGCCTTGGAGGTGGAGCCGGTCCAGTCCAGTGCTCCAATCAAGCATAACCTGCCTTTTCACCTTCAGGCCCTGGCTCCCGCGTCCCCTCGCCGTGCTATGGAGGAGGCCGTTACCCTCGCCCGTGTTCTGAGAGGCCTGATTCGCAAGTCGCAGCCCGCCCACGAGCACCCCGATGTCTTGACACGCCCCATGGACGCCCGCGCCGATGTGCGTGCTTTCTTGTCGGAGCGCAGCAAGGTCCTCCATATGTCTGGCCTGCCCCATGACACTACTCAATCCGAGCTTGAGAGCTGGTTCACCCAGTTTGGCGGTCGTCCCATTGCTTTCTGGACCCTGCGAACCCCTGAGCAGCATAAGCCCACGGGCAGCGGTTTCGCTGTGTTCTCTTCCCACGAGGAGGTGAGTTTATTTTTATTTTTGCTACGAGCAACCATGCTGTCACGGCATTTTGCAATTGGTCAGTTGCGAATGCCACAGCCGCTTCAATGGCCGTCGTCCTCATTTTGATGCAGAACTCTGCGCCCCTAAAGGCTCATAAGTACAAGACTAACAACAGCCTTCTAGGCCGCTGAGAGCCTGTGCATGAACGGTCGTGCTCTTAACGAGAAGGCGATCGAAGTGTCTCCGTCCTCCAGCCGCGTCTTGGACCGTGCTGCCGAGATCCTCACCCCGTTCCCGCCCAGCAAGAACCGCCCTCGTCCTGGCGACTGGACTTGCCCCTCGTGTGGCTTCTCAAACTTCCAGCGACGAACTGCCTGCTTCCGCTGCTCGTTCCCGGCTGTGAGCGCTGGCCCTACCGGCGATATGGGCTACGGCTACGGATACGGCCCACCAGCCATGATGCCTCCTCCCCAGCACCACCACGGACACATGGGTCACGGTGGTGGGCGCATGGGCGGAAGCGGCGTCGTTCCGTTCCGCGCCGGAGATTGGAAGTGTGGCAATGAGGTCTGCGGTTACCACAACTTTGCTAAGAACGTTTGCTGTCTGCGATGCGGCGCCAGCCGTGCTGGTGCCGCTGTCGTCGCCGACTCTGGTGGCTACCCTTCCCCCATGGACCCTCCCTCCAACTACAGCATGAGCCAGGGCTCGATGAGCGGCACCCCTGGACCTGGTCCTTTCGCTTCGGCCGGTGGTGGCTTCGCGTCTGGTGGCGGCTACGGCGGTCAGCATTTCGGTGGCCCCCCTAGCACCTACGCTCTCCCCTCCGGGATCGGCGGTGGCGGCGCTGCCCCTTACCCTTCTTCCCTCAACACCCACTTCGGACCGGCCCCCGGATCCCACTCCGCCGGCCCTTTTGACAGCCGCGCCGCCGAGGCTGCCTTCCAGTCAGCCTCCAACGGTCCCGCGTCTGCTGGCCCCTCGAACAACTTTTACTCGCAAAACGAGAACGACCCTTTTGCGTTCCTTTCCAGCGGTATCGGTGGTCTGTCCGTCAGCGGCGGCGATGCTCGCCAGAACGGAGGAGCTGCGCCTCCGAGCAAATCTCCTGCCTAAATGACGATCTGGTTAGTGATTTGGGAATCTAAGCGAGCTGTATCGGCTTCCTTGGATTGTTTTCAGCTCATCCTCATTTATGCGGAACGAACTTTGAAAACAAGACGAACATAGAGCATTGACCTTTGGCAATTACCTTCAGGACTTACGCTTGCTTTCAACGGAAGGGGTGTCTAGGTTTTGGAAGATCACTTGGAAAGGGGTTGGTTGTCGGTATACCAAGGGATGCGGGTAAAAAAGTTTGCGAGGCTGGAAAGACAAAAAGAGTGTTACACTACCGGAACGGACGGGCACCGCTGTTGGAGTTTGCTTTCTCCCTGACAAGCGTCAGTATAAAAGGGCAGGCTAGTTAAGGATTGTTGATTACGGCCGACCTCGCCTTTGGTTTGGACGTTGTGGTTGCGATACGGTCGGATTTTGGGCGGTCCAAAGGGGAGTGCATAGCGAAGGGAGTGTAACGGGTATACCTGGCCTTCATTGTGTGTGTGTGTGAGACGTGTTGGTTTTCAATATTTCTAGTTTTTTTTTCTCCTTTACCCCTCGCGTATTTTCGTCGTTGTGTCCGCTTCATCATCAAGTCCCCCCCCCTCCCTCCTTTCCATCTGGCCTTCTTGTCTCATCTTTTCCAACGTCACAAAAAATCCCCCCGTCCTAGTTCATCGTTTTCAGATAGGCTTGGCATGTACAACCCTCCATCCTTTTCTCTCTCTCTCTCGACACAAACACACATATGGTTTCTTATACGGCTGGATGGGCGGCAGCGTTGTGGGAGTCGGGGAGTGAAACAGGGTCCAGGGCAGGCAGGCAGGCTTTGGCTTGATAATCTTCCTTCATATTGAAATGCGAAGTCTTTACTCATTCAAAAGCTCGTCGTTGTGTAGTGCGTGCCCGGCCTTCTGCGCGTTTTGTTGGTGACGCAAAAGACGGGGTTCCTTATGATGACTGCAATGCAACATGCTGGTAAACAATGTGGGAACGCGTTACTGGCGCGGGGGTTGTCCTCTCAACTTTTGATTTCTTAATTAAGTCTGTGGCTGGGAAGGTGAGACGTGCGGCGGTTGTGCTCTGGTTTGTTTATGTTCTCGGCTGCCTGTGCTGTTCGTCGCTGCCGGTCCACCTCCGGACTCAGTGCCGGCGTTGCGCTTTCTCGGAGAACAACAAAGGGCGGATGTGATGTTGTACGCGGCCGCCCTTAATGACACATGAGGCCCCCATACAACTTGCTCTTACTCGCCGCTTGCTCTGGACAACACCCATGACTCAAAGCAGGACGGGCCGCCGTCCAGGCCACTCTAGAGCCGATATGAAACCAACGCAAGAGCAGACATCAAGTCAGACAAGGTTTGGCAACGCGGTGCCGGAGGCGTTTTAGCGAGACGATTCGATCATTGAAAGGGCAGCATGTTGGGAATCTGAAGCAATCTCCACTAATAACAATGGACGCCAAAAGCAAAGAAAATAGAACAAAGTGCAGCCCTCCAAGTGCCGTCCGCCTCCATTTTCAGCCTCCTGCCCGGCTCGGTCTCTGGTATCTGCCATGACAGCTAGTGTTTTTTACTGGTAAGTATTCTTGAGACTCCACCTTGCCTATCGGTCAATCTCATCGAGCGGCAGATCGCCGTCGTCCTTGCCGACGATTGAGTCGGCAACCTTCCAGATCTGAAGAAGATTGTCCTCGGCAGCACTGCAGACGAGCCAGGGTTCGTTGGGGTTCCAGCTGAAGTCTGCGAGGTGGTTGGTGTGTCCGCCGTGCATGAAGAGCCTATGTATGTCACTCGTTAGCAAATACATGCTTCGTACGTACAGCCAGGCATGGACATACAGTTCTGGGGGACCATCTTCTTGGTCGTCCGGCATCTGCTCCTCTCCAACGCGGGAAAGGTCCCAAAATATGACTCTTCTGTCGTAGGAACCACTGCCGAGAACGCCGGCTTCCTGCGGATGCCACGAGAGGGAGGTGACGGCATCGTTGTGTCCCTCCAGGGTGTGGACCTTCTCCTTAACGTTCCGGAGATCCCAGATGCCCAATGTTTTGTCTGCGGACGCTGTTGCGACGAGTACTTCTGACGTGGGGTTGAATGCCAGGGCGTTGATGGCATCCATATGGCCGCGCTTCGCGGTGACGGCGGCGCGATTCGTCTCGGGTTGACGCACATCAATAATCTGCATCGTCAAGTCATCCGACACGGTTCCGATGAAGCTCTTCGCAATGGGATGGTATTGGACGTCGTTGACGATCTGGGTGTGATGTGTGTACTTGCGGGCGGGCTTCAGTGTGTGGCTTCCGCTCTGGAGAGTCTTGAGGTCCCTGTCAAAAATAGGTTAATCTCAGGTTGGGGGGCGTGAAGGAAGGCAAAACAAACCATAGGCATACGGTAGTATCTTCGCTACCAGACGCGAGACAACCCTCTTCATGAGGGTTCCACGCCAGGCCAAATCCTTCCTGTTTGTGGCCGACGAGTTCAACCTGTGCGTTGACCTTGCCAGTGGGCTGCAAGCTATGCTTCGTGCGGTCAAAAACAAGGACCTTGCCGTCAACGCAGAGTGTTGCGATAATGTCAGGGTTCTGAGGCTGGTAGCGCGCCTTGTTGATCTCACCGGGATGGTCGATCTTCTGTACGATGCTGAATTCGACGGCAGCTGCCGGGCCGCTTGAGGACTTTCCATAACCTCCAATCTCTCCCGTATCCTCGTTGTAATCGTCGGGGTTTGGGGTCACAGATTTGGGAATCTTGACTTCGGCAATCTGCACGTGGTTGGGAAGGCCCTCGGAAGTGTGGGTTCCTAGGAGCAGTCTGTGAATGCGATAATTCTTGTCTTCGGGCTCCTTGACATCAGGGAACCATTGGGTGGTCAAAGTAGGCCATTCGAGAGCGGTACTGTTGGTCTTGTCAGTCCCGGTAAGGTAAAATTTGATAATTCGCTGTACCTGAGAATCATGTCATAGAGAAAGGGGCTGTTCTTCTTCCATGTCTTGTATTCTGTCATCGCGCCAGTTAAAAAAAAGGTAGTAGCTTTACGAATGAAGACAACCTACCCTCATTTATGAGGCGCTGCTCCTGGTCCTCGTCCTCTTCTTGAATCATGTCGACTGAAGAAGGATTAGTCCGCAATGCGCTTCGAAGCTCGTTTGCAAAGCTTACCATCGACATCGTCAACGACCTGGGCAGGCGCCATTGTGTGACACTCAACGATTGATTGAGTGTAATTTATAATGCAGTGATTGTCAACTTTCGGGAGGCTGAGAGGGCGGTGTGCTGCTTCGCAAGGGGAAAGTCGGAAGGTTCGTGCTGGCGCAAACGACAGTGAAAGACGCAGACGCGAGGTGGAGGTTCTAAAAGCCGACGCGCAGCAGCGCGTAGATTGAAATTTGGCCCCAGCACCAGGTAGCCCGGACAGGCAAGGGCAAGGCTACCACGCCAGGCCGAAGCGGGAATGGACAAGAACGGACGAGATCACCCCACAAGCAGGTGGCCGAGGCGCATTCTCACCAGCCACAAGCCCACAAGCTTTGGCGGGGGGATGTGTGGCGCAGGTCGGGCCACAACGTACGGATAGGATAGAAAGCGCTGCAATGGTCAAGAGCCTGTGGTCCCTGTACTTGGGTACGTGGGTACCTACCTAGGGTCGAGTCATATCGGCAAGGCGAGAAACACTGCTCGAAGCAATGACTGAACCTCTGTAGCCACTAGCGCCACAGGATTCTCCCGCCTGGCCCCGCCGCCGCCGCCGCCGCCGCCCGAAAGCTGGAGGCAAGTTCCTGCATCATCCAATATCGATTGCGCCCATATGGCCCGGCACCAGGTCCATCTGTCCAGCTTCACCCGCGCAACCCAACTTTGCACACTTTCCGACCTCAACCTCTCGCCCTCACACAGCTCGACAGCCGAGTTCCCTGTTCACCTGGCAGAATCGCAGACAAGTTTGGTTATTTCGAATAGCCAGCTGTTGAATATTCTTTCACTTGTTCATTTCTTCTTTTCTTTTCTCACGTCGCAACCAGCTTGCGACTGATTCACCTTGGCCTCCTGCGTCAGGACTCCCTTCTTGTTTGGAGAGAAAGAAAAAAAAACGAACAAAACAACCCTCAACAGGTCGCTTGCAGCACACTGAGAAGGAGAGGGACAGATCGCATTTGTCTCCTGGAACAATCCTCCCACATCGCAACCTCATCAACTTTAGCATCTTTTGTCGCGCTTACCTCAAGCGCGCCACCACCACGACATCATGGGGTTTGTCGAGCTTCCATTCTCACCTGGTCGCCAAACTTCGCATTTGCTAACCCCATCATCTGCAGTGTTCCCAAGTTTTTCAGATGGCTTTCGGAGCGCTATCCGGCCATCTCGCAGCTCATTGCCGAGAACCGCATTCCCGAGTTCGATTGTCTCTATGTACGCCCCCCGCTCCCTTTCTTTTGCACCTCGATTGCAATAGCTAACAATATTGAGTAGCTGGATATGAATGGTATTATACACAACTGTACGCACAAAGATACCGGCGAAGACACGACCTTTCGACTAAGCGAGGAGGAGATGTTCATTCGCATCTTCAATTACATCGAGCACTTGTTTGGGAAAATTAAGCCGAAGCAGCTCTTCTTCATGGCAATTGACGGAGTCGCGCCGAGAGCCAAGATGAACCAGCAGCGCGCTAGACGTTTTCGAACTGCCCTCGACACAGAGAAGGCCCGTGACAAGGCCATCAGCGAGGGCGTCGAAATGCCCAAAGAACCTCCTTTCGATAGCAACTGCATCACGCCCGGTACCGAGTTCATGGCGAAGCTGACGCAACAGCTCAAGTATTTTGTCAATAAGAAGGTCTCCGAGGACGCTGACTGGCAAGGTTGCGAGATTGTCTTGTCTGGCCATGAGGTTCCTGGTGAAGGTGAGCACAAGATCATGGAGTACATTAGGAATGCCAAGGCGCAGCCTGACTACGACTCCAACGTTCGCCACTGCTTGTACGGCCTTGATGCCGATCTCATCATGCTTGGCCTGCTCAGTCACGACCCTCACTTTTGTCTTCTCCGAGAAGAGGTTACTTTTGGCCGTGCGAGTAAGGCCAAGACCAAGGAACTGGAACATCAGAACTTCTATTTGCTGCATTTATGCATAGTGCGCGAGTATTTGGAGTTGGAATTCCAGCAGCTTAAGGAGCCGGGCCGGCTGAGCTTCCCCTTTGATCTGGAACGAGTTATCGACGACTTCATTCTGATGGCTTTCTTTGTTGGAAACGATTTCCTCCCCAATCTCCCTCGTCTCCATATTAACGAGGGTGCTCTCGCTGCCATGTTCCGTATTTACAAGTCGGTCTTACCTCTGGGAGATGGTTATATCAACGAGGGCGGTGTTATCAACCTGCCCCGTCTTCAGAGGCTTCTCAACGAGCTCGCCAAGGACGAGACGAACCAATTTGAGCACGACGTCAGCGATGAGAAATGGTTTCAGTCTAAGAAACTCTTGGAATCTAACGGCGCCGACAACAAAAAGCCCAAGGGCAAGGGGCTTGTTTTGACATCATCCCAGAGAGATCTGTGGAAGCAGCAAATTCGTCCCTATGTCAAAAAACCTTCATCCGAACCACTGGACCTGGGAATTAGTCTCAACGCCGCTGATCGCAAATTTGTTCAAGATCTTGCCGATACTCTTCACATTGAGTGGAGCACCAAAGAAGATGATGAGGGTCATCGCCATCTCTTCCTGTCCTTTCCCAAGGGCGCCGAGAATGTTAACGACGAAGAAGAGGAGGGGACCCTCGCCCTCTATCGCGTTATGCGCAACTATGACAAGGCTACCGTTGTCGATGTCAGTGGTGAAGACGCTCAGCGACAGTACAAGGAACTCTATGACCAGAAGTACCAAGGCTGGAAGACCAAGTACTACCTGCAGAAGTTCCCAGAGTGGGCACCTGAGCAATACGAAACTGAGCTCACCAAGCTCTGTGAGAATTATGTGCAAGGTCTCCAATGGGTTTTGTACTATTACTACCGCGGAATTGCCTCGTGGCCTTGGTTTTACCAGTACCACTACTCTCCTTTGACATCTGGTAGGCTCGATTGGACGCAATACACGTAAACGCGCTAACACATCTTACAGACGTTACCAGAGGTCTTGGAGCCGACCTCAACTTCAAGCTGGGTCAGCCTTTCAGGCCCTACGAGCAGCTCATGGGTGTCTTGCCCGATCGAAGCAAGTCCATTGTTCCCGATGTCTACTGGGATTTGATGACGAACCCTAATTCCCCCATCTACGACTTCTATCCCAGAGACTTCGAGCTTGACATGAACGGAAAGAAGATGGAATGGGAAGCCGTTGTGAAGATCCCTTTTATCGATGAAAAGCGCCTGCTTAGCGCGATGGAGCCCAAAAACAAGCTCCTCAGCGAGAGCCAAAAGGAACGAAATGGGTTTGGAGTTGCTCTCAAGTTCACTTACAACCCGGACATCGCTTTTAACTACCCCTCGTCTCTTGCGGGCATTTTCCCAGATATCAATCCCTGCCGCTGCGTGGAGAATATCTTCGAGCTTCCCAACACTGACGGTCTCACCTACCGTAATGGCCTTGTTGATGGCGTCAAGATCAACATCGAGGCACTTGCGGGGTTCCCGACACTGCACACCTTGTCCTATACAGCGATGCTGGTGGAGAACTTTGGTGTTAATGTCTTTCAGGCAGACAGCAAGAACCCCAGCATGGTTGTTACCCTCACCGACGCAGAGATGAGAACCAGGGCCCAATCAGCTGCTCAAAAGCTTGGAAAGCGATGTTACGTAGGATACCCGTTCCTGCAAGAGGCCAAGATTGTGAAGGTCACCGATGAGCTCTTCGACTACGAGCTCGACAGAAACGGCTCTGTTGTTCAAAAGCATCACGGCCCCAAAGAAATTGACTTCTTCTCCAAGGAGTCTACCTACATCGAGAATTGGCACTCAAAGCGCCTTGGTATCGTCATCGGCTCAGTAGAATCCCTGGTTCACGTCCATATGTTGAAGGGTTTGATCAAGACCGAGGAGGGTGCTTTAATCAAAGAGTATGCGCCAAACCCCAGCATGAGAAGCGTGTACGCTTCTCAGACCATTGTCGACGAAGTCATCAACGAAGACGAGCGATTCATCGAGAAGGCTGCCGTCCCCATCGAGGAGGAGTATCCAATTGGCACTCAGGCTTTCTTCTTGGGCGAGTACAACTACGGACGAGCTCTGGAGGTTACGGGTCATGTCAACAACAAGGCCAACATCCGAGTTTCTGTCTTGAAGCACAAGGAACCCGACTTCGCCAAACCCATTATCCAGGACATGAAGCGTCAGAACCGATACACTCCGTCTTACGCAGTTGCTAAAATGCTCAACCTCCACCCTTTGATTCTTAGCAAGATCCTGTCATCTTACCAGGTTAACACTGTTGGTGGTTTGAGAGTCAATCTGGGTCTCAACCTGAAGTTCGATGCCAAGAAGCAAAAGGTGCTCGGCTACTCGCAAAAGTCAGACTCTGGCTGGGAGTTTAGCAATGCTGCTATCGAGCTTCTGGCCAGATATATCGCCGCGTTCCCTGACTTCTTCGCCGCTATTCAGCAGAATCCTCAAGCAAGCGATGTCAGCGACACCGATCTGTGGAAGGACCCTAAGGTGGCCGCTCAGCGAGTGAAAGAGATTGGAGCTTGGCTCAAGGCGGCTCAGACCAGCAAGTTTGAGAGAGTTCCCCTCGAAGCTGAACAACTCGACTCCGTTGTGGTCATGAAACTTGCCGAGGCTGGTGCCCAAGTCTTCCTTCAGTCTCACGATGTAGATGTCATAAACATGAAGGGCGTCCCGCGGTCAGCCATTATGAAGCCCAGCGATGCCGAGTTGTTCCTCAGCAACCAGAAGTTTGCTCTCGGCGACCGGGTCAGCTTCTTGTCTTCTTCTGGCAAGGTGCCTCTTGGCAGCCGGGGAACAGTGGTTGGCCTCAGCCGTACCGCCACTAATCTTCTTTTGGATGTCGTCTGGGATCTTACTTTCATGAGCGGCACGACTCTGGGAGAAAGAGCTCCACCATTCCGCGGTATGACTGTTGCCTCGTCCTCGGTTCTCAACACCACGTACAAGCAGGTCGTGTCTGGCTCCAAGGCCGGTATGCAGCGTAAGCCAGCGACAGCTCCAGTGTCGCTCACGACGATGGCGGCGGGTGTTCCCCAGTACAAGGATGCGCCTGCTCCCGGTCCGCTCAGAGGCACCTGGCGCGGTGCCGCGAACGGCAGCCAGGGCCAGTCTAACCGAGGTCGTGGCCGTGGTGGAGGTGGGCCAAACTTGCTGCACAGCACTCTTGTCTACCGCCCTCATCAGAACGGCACGGATGAAGCTCACGAGGCCAATGGACAAGGCCAGCGTGGTGGAGGCAACTTCAGAGGTCGTGGTCGTGGTCGCGGCGGACCGGTCCAGCATCCCGGACAGTCGAGCCTTCACGAGATGCCGTCTCAACCCCAGCAGCCGATGTACGGCAACGTCCCGCCTCCCCCGAACCTTGACGCGCGTGGCAGAGGCAGAGGCCGTGGCGGACGTGGTGGACGGGGAAGAGGTGCTCCTCGCGGACGTGGTGCAAACGGCGCAGCGAACGGAGTAACGAACGGAGCTTCCGCGGACGCAGCCTAGTATTAGAAAGGGAGTGCCTCGGTTTCCTAGGATTGTTTTTGGTTCAGCAGATACCCCTTGATGAAGCGACGTGGTTTCTGATAGATGTCTTCGATATCCAACAAACAAAAACTAAACTGGAAGGATGGGCTACAGGCTATAATGGCGGCGATCGCAGTACATCAAGACGTGTATATCTATTCTTGTTGGACTATCGAGACGGTTGCTCTAGTCTTAAGGGGGCAACTCGATATACCTGGCCAATGCTAGGAGATAATACACACACGCAGCATTGGCTGATCTTTTTATCCAAAAAATACTTTGTGTGACTGATTGGCAAAACGAGGTAAGAATGTTTAGGAAGTTATATTCATTTCCACCAAATTTACATACTTCCTCATCCATTTCAAGGCTTCTTCTTGTCTTTGTTCTCCTTAACCTTGAGAGCAGGAAGCTTGAAGGCCTTACTCACACCTCCCCTGAGGGCCTTCCAGCCGCCGATATCTCGGTTCTGGTTCCATGTCAAGATGCCAACCCACGGCTGGACATTATAGTGCAGCTTCAAGACGACCTTGTCGGTCTCGGCGATCTTGCTCGAAGGATGAGTGATTTGATACTTGGCTTTTTGGTTCTTGATGCGGAGTTTGCCACTGCGAAGTGGTCAGTCATGGGTCTCGGTATACAGCAGTGATTACTGCGACAGTCTTACCGGTTGGGGTCGATGCTCTTGCCCTCGGCGCTCTTCTTCAGCTTACGCATGGCAGCAGGACCGATGTTGGCGAGGTGATCGGCACTGGGCGAGGTGATGATCTGATCCCAGATGACGGCTTGGTTGGTGGCATTGGTGCCGGCAGCAGCCTTGGAGCTATCGGGCCATTCGGCCGTGACGTAGACGAAGACCTGCTTCGTGTTCCAGGTGAAGAGGTCCGAGAGGTCGGCGTCGAGGGAGAACTTGATAATGGCATATTCTTCCTTCTTGCTCGAGTAGTAATGGGGCCGGCCCTTGACGACTTGGACGTTTGTCGTCTTGAGGGAGCTGACGGAGGGGGCGCGTGGGGCAACGAGATCGGAGAGGGCAATGATGGCGGCGACGAAGAAGGCTACCGACGTGAAAAAGCCAAATGTATTTTGGGCGCGGGTTATCGTGTTGTACATCTTGGGCGGCCGCTTTGCCACCTCTGGTGGACTATGTGTCGGTCGGGAGGGAGGCGTATGCTTCTTAGCTTCTTGGTTGCGTAAAAGATACAAACCTGGGGGAAGCGAAGCTTGCTCGTGCCGGAATAGATATGCGACGCGGGAGGCCACGTATTGGGGACAGGCTTCATTCAGCCTTGCAGAGATGGACATGTGGCTTCAGCGCTATTGGTCGCAGCTTGGGGTGAGCTGCAGCAGCTGTAGCCTCTAAGGGGTCCTGGAGATACGTACTGTAAGTCAGCAGCCGAGGATACCTTCAGAAACGGGGGTGCGCCCTTCTGCCAATTAAACTACCTACCTATATCCCGCCGCCAAACGCATAGCTGGCCAACGAGCTTCACCGCCTTCCTCTGACCACTTGCCTGGCTGGCATCATGAAGAAGGGGAGCACAAGGCACATTGCTTGTGTGGTCGTTCGCCTGCTCACATGCTCCCTTTTGCGGACTTGTCTGCTTCTCCTTTGCCTCGCAGAGCTTTATTTCCTCCTTTAGACTCTTGGACGCCGCTTGCCGCACCTTCAGTTGTATTCATATACCAGGAAAACCCGTCGAACAGGGAAGGAATGAATGCAGCATAGTTGTTCCAGGGCGGGCGAAGCCATTCCGGCTTGTTGCCCCGACTTTACTTTTAATCCTCTTATTTTATAATAAAACCATTCCGTTTTCTATTCTGGATGCGGTTATAGGCCCAACTTCTCATGCTCTTCCTTCCCCCGAAGCTAGCCTGTAACCATCACCACAATTAACCTTTACAGCGGCTCAAGCTCGCATATCGGGAAGAAGCTCATTGAATGATAGAGATGGCAGATGATACAGAGATCCAGGTATGTCTTCCTAGTCCTATTGGCGGTTGGGTATGAAGTTTCCCTTCGACCTAAGCGGATGGGACCAATGCAAGCCACCTAGGTAGTTTACCTACCCAGTTTCGCCTGTCGTTCCAAAGAAGCAGGTGCCACCCTTCCCAGCGGATGTCGCGCTGCGGCGCGCTGGGTTTTAATGGAGTGGGTCTCCACCAGAGCTTATCCACGTCGTGCACTACGAATACACGCCGCTGGACGAGTCGCTGTAGCTCGTTACGTGTCAGCGGGTACCACTGTAACTTTTTTCCCTCTCTTTCTCTCGGCGTTCTATTCCAACGTCTCGGCGGCTGCTGGGTACCCCCAAACACTTAAGCGTGAACTGGCTGCAGCCAGCTTTTCCCATCTGGACCCCACTACTAACCGACTTTCGTGAATGAAGCAGGAGCAAGAAGCGACACCGCCTGCGGACGCAACTTCTTTTTCTCCTTCTCTCTCCTCTCCTTCGTTTTCCAGAGTCACGACCCCTCCCTGCGATGAAACGCCACAGAAAGGCGGACCCTCGTCTTCTTCCGACTCGTCTGCGCCCTGTCCGAATCCGCCCTCGCCAAGGAGAGCCGATAACGCAAGAGTGACTCCCCCAAGAGATCAGGAGGAGGGAGCTTTGCGGGAGACTGCGCATGCGGTAAGGCGGGCGCCTGAGAACGAGGAGAGAGGGAAGAAGGCCGGTACGAACGGAGCGATTGTCTCTTCCAACCGAAGAGCTTCCCCAAAGAGATACGGCCGAACGTATGTGCCCACAGGGCCCTTCCTCTGATTCAAGAGATTGACACTAACAAATGAACGACAGGGCCGAGGAGCTGCGGGAGCAATACAATAATAACGAATATCACTCCTTTCCGACCTACGGGTACGACCTGACCCAATGAAATACTGCGGGCGAGGGTGTCGCTAACACCTACTGATGTCAGGAACTCAAAATACGGTGTTCCCGTCCCAGATCCGATGGTGACTTTTCCATACAAGAAAAGCAAAACGCCGACTAACACAGCCATAGAAGAAATACAACACTAAAACCAGATCCATCGTTAACGGCGGTATTACCGGCGGGGTCAACACTTTGGACAGAGGCAAAGATGCGCGCCACAAGAGGCTGCCCTCGGTGCAACAAGTAGAACCCTCGAGGTTTGCCAAACGCCAAAAGATACAGGCCAAAGACGATGCGCCCAGAGACCCTGCGGTGCTCATCCCAAAACGCATCTCTCCAAAGTCAGGTGCCCCGCCAAAAACCGTGCCAACGGTGGACTTGACGGACTCTCAGCAGTCGCCGGATTTCGAAGTCGTTAGCAACCGCTCGAACCACGAACTGACGTCAAGTGCGGAAGTCCCCGAATATAGGAGCGTGGAGCGGGCACATAGCGCAACTGCTAGCAACAAACGTCACCGTTCTCGTCCCCGTGTTCGCCCCTTGAAGTACACTCTATCAACTACGGCCAAAGAAAGCCTCACGGATGACGAAGATGACCTGACAAAAGAAGAAGATGGTCCCCCGAGGAAGAAGCATGCTCCTGATCAACCTAAGGGTAATTCAAAGACAGCATTCCATCTACCCCCCGGCGTAGGTACGGCAAAAGGTCAGCCAGAAGACATTTCGGACGATGAGCTTGGTAGCCAGGACAGAAGATCATCAAGGGAACGGCGTGCCTCCTCGACAGAAGGCATCTCGAACGCAGATGCACGAAAGTCAAGGAAAGCCTCTGTCGCCCGTTCGCGTGGAGATATGACCAAGGTGAACTTCTCAAGGTCGCAGAACGCCCATCAGCCAAGATTAACTATCGCTCGCGCTGTCTCTGGGGGGGAGACGTTAGATGTCAAGGATTTGCCCGCGGAAGATCGCCCGGTACTGACAGTAGGCCTTGACCAAAGAAGCCTGATCGCGGTTGATTCCACCAACAAGCATCGTCCAGACTATAGATGGCTGGAGGTAAAGCTGATGTATTGCACCAAAATGCTTTACAGTACAAGCAACACTGCATTTGCGGTAATTCATAGATCCGCAGGTGATGGCGTTGGTCCCCTTTTGGTATTGGAATTTGCCCAACCCGGAGACGCTCTGTCTTTGGGGCTTTGGGTGGAGACCAAGCTGAAAGACTTCTCTACATTTACAATGAGCTGTACTACAGCCGATAGGTAAGTTAATGCACGCTGAAGTTCTTCTACGCCCAGCTAATAAAGGTCAGCGAGCAACTTGAGAAGACCTTCAACAACCAAATGCACAATGCCAGTGTTTGGAGCGAGAGGCGCGCGTCAAAGCCAGATGACATCAAGTATCTTGAGCATCAAGAGAAGACCAAACCAAAGCCCGCTGTGACCTCGACGCCAGGGAGTCAGTTGAGACCAGCTTCCGCGCAGCAGAGTACTCCAACCCAAACCGGTCGTCAGCTCCTGCGACGCAGCATGCAGGTGGACGGCTCAGAGTCTGCGAAGACCCACACGCCCACGACAAGCTCTTTCTTTGTTCTCAATGATGTAGAGGATCGCCAGATCGATGCTCAGCGAACTAAGACACTGTCTTCTAGACGGGTGAAGGATGGGGCTTCTCGGTTGATGTTGAACTCGTCGCCCAGCGTGTACGGCCGCAAATCCCCCAGTCCTATCTCTTGGATCACCCAAAATCCCGACTGGGTGAACATTTGGGATGACAAGCCCCTTATTTTTCCTGCCATCGGCAAAAATAGAGCTTCAGTCTATCGTGATGACATCTCGCGTCTCGAGGAGGGCGAGTACCTGAACGACAACCTGATCGGTTTCTACTTACGTTATCTTCAGGCCAATCTAGAACAAGAGAACAAGGCTCTGGCTGACCGGATTCACATCATGAACACCTACTTTTACCCCAAGCTGACTGATGTGAAAGCGGGCCGGGGCATCAACTACGAAGGTGTCAAATCATGGACAGCAAAGATTGACCTGTTCTCATTCGACTATATCATCGTTCCGGTCAATGAGAGTGCCCACTGGTACCTGGCAATCGTATGCAACCCAGCCAAGCTGCTGCAGAGAACCGATGAACAACCAAATGCTGAAAAAGTGGACTCCGCAGAGGGCCCTGAGGACAAGACGAACGGAGAACTCAAGGAGCATCCAGCTGAAGAGACTTTGGTATCTACTGTCGGCGAACGAGTCGAACAAATGAGTTTAGATGAGGACAAACCAGAAGAAGAGCAGCCAAAAAAGGAACCGCAGAAGGTTGAGGAGAAAAGTCTCAAAGTTTCGTCCAACAAGCAGCGGCTGCCTCGGAAAGTCACAGGAACCTTGGCTCGAAAGCAGGATCCTACTGAAGCTAGAGTCATTACACTCGACTCATTAGGCGTCGGGCATTCCCCTACCTGCGGGAATCTCAAGTCGTACCTCGTTCGAGAAGCGAAAGACAAAAAGAACTTGGAAGTCGAGCCGCCCGCCACCTTTGGCATGACAGCAAAGGGTATTCCTGAGCAAGAAGATCACGCAAGTTGTGGCGCTTTTCTCCTTGGCTATATGCGAGAGTTCCTTAAGGATCCAGATGGCGTGGTGGCCAGATTGATCCGCAAGGAGACTCCGGGTTGGGATATTACATCTCTTGCAATGCGAAGCGAGCTCCGTAACATTATCATCGAAAAGCGAAAGGAACAGAACGCACTGGCGGCAGAGAAGAAGGCCAAGCGAAAGTCGAATATTCAGTCACCTGCCACCGGCAAGTCGCTAGAGAAATGTCAAGAAGCAGAGCCTGCTGCGCCAAGGACTCCCCAACCAGCGCTTGACGCGCCAAAGAACCCGTCATCTACCGTCAAGGGATCCCCGGCAATTACTCATCTATCATTGCATAGTCGCGGCAGTCCGCCTGCAAAGGATGCAGTTGGTGCCGCGGCTGCACATCCCCCAGCGGCCGAGCCTCCCACACAAATAGTGCCCTCTGCAGATGACGAGTCTCCCAAAGGCGTGGAGCCTTCTCTGCAGACTGAAGCTCCCCAATCGTCATCTACCGTTGCTGCGACGAGTGCGGAGAGTGGTTTGCTGGAACCCCTCAAAGAAAGCTCAGAAGGACCACGAACGCCAGTTCGCGAGCAGCCACACACAGCTGACAGCTCAACGCCAGCTCCCCTTCGGACCAGTCCTCGTCATACCAAAAGGAAGCCTGCCAACGATGGTGATATGTCTAGGATGTTGCATCCGTTAGTTTCTTCGCCAGCCAGTCCCGCCAGCGAGAGGCCGGCTTCCAGAAGTACCAAGGGGAAACTCAGTAACATCGAGATTCTTCTGAGCCAACAACTGCCTTCCTCGCCGTCAAAGTCTACCCGTCACAACGAGTTAGTCACTCATCGATCCAAGAAGAAAAGCATCTCTCCAAGTCAGCAGCTGCTTGGTGAGATGCAGTCTTCATCCGTATCGACGCAGCAAAGCAAATCAGCATTGGGAAATGGCGGCAAGGTGGCCAGGAGGCCGGAGAGCATCGTCATCGAGGACGAAGCACCCCCAAAGTCATCACCGCGCACAATGATGGACGGCCCTACTGTGACGAGCCGCTACTTCCCAGCGAAAGACCTATCTCGCATTCATTCGTCACCGTCGTCAGAACCAGATACAAAGAAGAGGCATTCTATTAGGCATGTTGGAGAGGCGATACCAAGCATTGAGAAACCCGAGACCGTGGATCTCACCACACAGTGAAAAAGACTTGCGTCACAATACCCTGATATTAAGGTTGACAGTAAATGGTTGGGATAGGAGTGGAAGTACGAAAGCCAAGGGAGGCTGAGTCTATGGAAGAGATCAACTGGATCTGCTATCAAGCGGCGCGAAGCGTTGTTCAGGTAGCATTACCAATAGATTTAGAGCACAGCTTCTTAAAGGTAATGAAGAAATGAATATTTTACTTCGAAGAGTGGCCGCAATTTACTCACGGCCATGACGGAGAGTAGAGTCTCATGTCATAGTTCGTACATTGTGGTACAAGATCCTCTGTAAGCGTCTTTCCCCTATCCCGCTTTCTCTCGCCATCGTAAGAGGAGGGGGTACTTCTATATGCTTTTTTGTTACTCGCTTTCTGAATTCGATGCGTCATTATGGTTGCCGTTCACATCCGGCTTTTTCAAGATTTTGGGCACCTCAAACACATATCCACCGTTCTTCCCCTTGCCCTTGCGCGTCTGCCACCTGCCCAGCCTGTGCTCCTTGCCTACCGCCGCCACAACGCAAACGCCATCCTGCCCACGCTCACCTCGTTCAAAGATGGCAATATCGTTAATCACCCCCTTCAAGCCGCCAGCGGCATCTTCTGGCTTGCTCTTGCCGGCTCTCGAGGCCTGCCCGGCCTCTGATGTGAGAACGCCCGCCGCTTCGATTTTTCTCTTGTCTTCGCTTAGGCGCCATACCCTTATGCAGCCGTCCCAACTTCCACTGAGGATGACGTCTGAGTAAGGGATCGTCTTGAGAGCCGTGATCCACCGCGGTTGCGGCGGCGGCACGACGCTCGGGTCTGGGCTGTGATCCGCCGAGGCCTCGTCCGGCCGGAGGGCTTGTTCCAGACCGTGGGCCATGGGGAAGATGTGTAGCGGCTTCTTTTTCGTGACGCTCCAGAGAGCAAGAGAGCCGTTATCGCTGCCCGTGACGAAGAGCTCATCGTCAATCATGGCAACACGGTCCATACTACCCTCGTGCGGGAGTGAGCGCGGGTCGACGTCCGGACGGGACTTCTTGTCTACGGCGCCGCCGCGGAAGACGAGCTGCGTCTCTTCGGCGACCTTCCACAGACGTGCTGTCCGGTCACGTGCGCCCACACTCACGCAGCGCTCCTGAGCAAGAGCGTCGATGTCGACAATTTCGTCTTGGTGGCCGAAAAGGGTCTCGACGTAGGCGAGCTCGTCCAAGCTCCAGACCTTGACCGTGCGGTCCTTTGAGCAGGAGTAGAGCTGGTTCGTGCCGCGGCGGAAGGCGAGACCGGTGACGGCGTCGCGGTGGTGGGTGAAGACGCGGATGGGCTTGAGGGTCTCGGCGTCGTAGATGATGAGCCTGCGGTCCTCGCCGCCCGTGACGACGTACTTGCCGTCCGGCGACGCAGCAACACACAGGATCTTGTCAACGTGGCGCTGAAACGACTTTTTTGTTGCAAAGTGCAGGTTGCCCCTCAGCCAGTTCTCCAACTCGGGCTTCTTGCGCGGCGGGGCGGGCGGCTTCTTGGGCTTCTTCTTGGTGGTCTGCGGGAATTGGTGTTGGGGGAGGTCTTGTATTCTCCACTTGTGCAGGTACATGTCCTTGGTCGTTGTGTAGGCGTAAGGGGCATTGACGGCGACGGAAGTGAAGGTCTCGGTGTTGTTGCGGAAGAAGGACGAGGTCGCGCGCTCGAAGGCGAGCTCGTCGACGAGGGTGCGGTAGACCTTGCCCTTGGACTCGGCCACGTCCTCTTGTAACCGCTCGTTAATCAAGTCGCGGTCAATCTCGGCGGCGTCGAAGCCCACCTCATCCACTTGCTGCTTGACGTTCTCGAGGTAGCGTTCCGCGAGCCTCAGGCGGCGCTCAGCGGCAGTCTCGCCCGCGACACCGTCGTCCTCCGACGAGCCATTGTCACTCTCCTCCGCGGCGGAGACAATGTCCTCTTCATCTGAGTCGCTACCCGAAATCGATTCGTCGTCGTCATCGCGCTCACTTCGCTTTTTGGAGGCGGGTGCTGCCGCTACCGCAGACCTCTTGCCTTTAGGCGCCGCAGACGATTTCGGAGGGGCTCTGTTGGAGGACTTGGAGGCGGCAATTCGCTTCTTGGGGGCCGCAGGGGCGTCTGTTCTTTTCCGCTTCTTGTTGGCGCCGGGGATTGTGAAGAAGGACGACATTTTGGGCAGAGCTTGCTGGGGCGTGCTTTGCCTGGGTATCTGGGCAACTTTTTTTTCCGTCCTAGCCCGCCTACATCGACGATATTTTTTTTTTTTGGAGGTGGGCTTCCCAGAAAAAAAAAGTTCGGTGGGTACGTATCTCGGAGAATCAGATGCCAGGGTGGGGTGTTGATGCACCCAATCAAGAGCAGTAAGACTGGGGTTGTGGTTTTTCCGGGTGACGGCGGTCTACTGGGGCAGAATTCACCCACTGCGGCCCGTTCGCTTCAGGCTGTAGCTTGACTGCGCGTTCCGGGGGGTAGCTCGACCGACCTTGGAGGTTGAAGGCTGACCCTCATTAACGACGTACGAACACCACCACCACTACCAAAACCTCTACCTCCTCCTCCTCAACAACGAACTAGCCGCCGCAACCGCAACAGCAGTCAAGATGTGAGATACAAGATTTCCAGTAATCGGTCGAACAAGATGCAGCGAGCTAACAGATGGCGTCTGGCAGGGAGGTACTACTGGGTATCACGGGCAAGGACTTTACCATCATCGCAGCTTCCAAAGCTGCCATGCGTGGCGCAACGGTTCTCAAGTCTGCCGACGACAAGACGAGAGCGCTTAACAAGCAAACACTGATTGCATACTCTGGCGAGTCGGGTGATACTGGTCAGTAACCGCCATGATGCTCCTACCCCGCTGGAGGGTCACCCCTCGTTGGTGTCGTCACGATGCGGGAAGGTATACTAACACCGCTCGACCAACCCCCAGTCCAATTTGCCGACTACATCCAAGCGAACTCCCAGCTTTACTCGATGCGCAACGAGACGGACCTCTCCCCCTCAGGTCTCGCCAACTTCGTCCGCGGGGAGCTCGCCTCCAGCCTGCGGTCGCGGAAGCCCTACAACGTCAACCTGCTCCTCGGCGGCGTTGACCCCATCACACAGAAGCCCGCGCTGTACTGGCTGGATTACCTTGCGTCGCTGGCGCCCGTGCCATACGCCGCCCACGGCTACGCACAGTAAGTTGAAGCACGCAAGCTGCCAAGCCCTGGTGGCCCCAAGGTTGTTGGGAAAGGTGCAGACACAGCTAACGCGGGAATCCTAGATACTACTGCCTGTCAATCCTCGACAAACACCACCACCCCGACATCACACTCGGCCAGGGCATCAAGATCCTCAACATGTGCACGGACGAGCTGAAGAGGCGGTTACCGATTGACTTCAAGGGCATGACGGTCAAGGCCGTGACCAAGGACGGTATCGTGGACATAGAGTTCGACGACGACAAGGTTGTGAAGGCAGCTTGAGGCGGTAGCCTGCGGTGAGGTGATGACGGAGAGGAGGACGGGCTTTTCAACGACGAGTGCGCAGCCGCATCAGCAAAAGAGGCCTTGCCAGCAAAATGTACTACTAGACCGGGCTGGTAAACGATACAGACATCAGTTCCATTACGAAGAGTCCGTGTGTTTTTGACGAGGGCTTTTGGCTGTACTTTGTATGTGACGATGGATACCATTGCGTACCCAGACATTGACCGGCGTAGTTGAGGCAATCCAAGAAGGGCCTGTCGGCATGTGGAACGAGAAGACGGCATTGAGTATGAAAGCCGAAAGTCAAGCCTTCCTTTCCTGCAGCCACAAGGCTGTCCCAGATTTGGACCTAACCGCGCATGAGAGTGGTGTGATGCTCACCGTATCAGTATGCTGCGTCGAACCAGTTGTTGCAACAAGAGTTGGGGGAGGGGGCAAGTGCTGAGGTCACAGTTTTGCCGCAGGCTCAGGCATGCCGTGGGTTTTGAAACGGGCGGCCGGGCCAAGCCCCAGTGAAAGGGATTACTTTGGTTCTCCCGAAAACCTTTGAATCGTTCGTTGGTTTTCCTTTATCAGAAGAAGCTATCCCGTCTTTCGCGTGTTTGGACGAAAGTTGGGAAAAGACAAGGAGCGAGAGCAGATGGCTCCGAACTACTCGTAGGTGATACGATTGGGTACATGCCTAGGTAGTCCGGGCTGGGAGTAGCGCTTGACTCGCGCCACGATGCGTTTCCCTTGTGAGAGTCAAAGCTGACTAGTCTCTACACTTTCCTTTTACTGTTCTTTATTGGTGGCTCAGCTGCGTCAAACGAGTGAAATCTTTGGTGTTGTGTCTCGCCGGCCCTCGGATGCGCAACATTGTTTTGCCGTACGAATTGCGCTGGGATCCTTGATCTTAACCTAAGAGACCGGGAGGGGCCGATGGCCAAGCAACTCTCCTCCCACCGAATGACGTTTTCTGCTTAGGCAGAAAGTTCAAAGGATGGCATTGATAAGCTGCTACATTGTGAGGCGACCGTTCCGTATGCATGTTGCATGAGGATGACGGTGTCTGTCAGGTGGTCATAACTTTTGGATAGAAATGACAACGAAGGACATCGATAGCGACCACGAAGAGATGTGGGTCTTGTTGTTATCCTCATCCAGTGTGTTTGGTTTCAGCGTTATGCCACCTCTCGTCACTTGGGGGGTTCTGATAGCTGTATTGCTCGGACTCCGTTGGCTAACCAAAACGGCAGCTTATCTTTCTTGGCAGCAGAGACCAGACTGAATTGCAGAACTCGCCTCAGGTGAGATGTGCCTACCTGAGGGTCTTATCGGTTTGTTTGGACTAGCCTGCACTCTTTGGTCATCCCATAAGGAGGCTTGGCCGGTCAGCTCGCAACCGATGTCATTCGGTTTGTCGCCACTTGGCCACTTGCCTCCATTTTTGTTGACTCCATTGCGGGGCACCCTGTAACCCCGACTTGATCACTTGTTTTGCTTCCCGCACACCATTACTATGTACCTCCGACACCCAACCGTGCCAGCCAGCTCAGCCAAAATCGAGCATCCGAACTGCCAGCCTTCCACAAATAGTAGTGTACAGTAGTCTACTCAAAGTTGCACGACCCTGGCTTCTCATGGTAGCATTTGGAAGCGGTCTCTTCCACTGCTAGCATAGCATCGCTACAGTTGGGACTGCCCTAGGTGTCGGAAACGTTGCCGTGCCAGATTCAGGGTCCTGTTCGCGCGCGGGCCGGAGCGCCATGGACGTGACGTTTGTTTGCCTCAGCTGAGGTATGGCATTTATTTTATCTGCTGGCAACCAGGCGCCAGGTGCCAGGTGGCAGAGTTGGTACGTACCTTGTTTTGGGGTAAGTTCAGGTATTTCTTTCCACCTCGGGTTCCTCCTTCAAAGAAACCGCCATGGGATTGGCTCCCGTCTCTTCCCTCCCGTTCAGTCCAATGAGATGCCGAATAATCAAAAGAGACTTGGGACGCTGCCAAGGCGGTCCCTCATAAGGTCGCACAGGTACACGATGATAGTAACATAGGCCTAGAAAGAGACACCGAAGAGAGGAGGTGAGGGAGAGTATGTAGGTAGCAAAATATTAGCACACCAGGGGGGGAGGACCTTGGCCGCTGTTGGCCGCAGAGACGGTCTAGCGTGGGCTGTCACCTCACATGTCATCATCCTCCGGTCGTCCACCAGGTAAAAAGCAGGCGCATGCTACACGTCCTTCAGGGTGGCCAATCCGGTGTCTTGCTAGTCCACCCCCTTGGCGGGGTGTAGCGGATGAGGGGGCCTGGAGCCCGCCTGTCTTAAGGGCCGCCCGAGCGGTGGGCGGGCGACCCTACTGGGCCCAGTGTTGCCAGTCCGGTCAAGGCCCTTGAGGGGTGAGCCGGTCCTCGACTACTCTCGACTCACCTTACCGAGGGCAGGTGTGAGAATGGGTGGGAGGAAGGTGTAAAAGGCAATAACAAGGGGAGGCGAAGGGGGAAGGCGCCGCCGAATTTTTCTGGGGGCAGGTGCCGTCTCTTGGTTCAGTGCCAGTGCCAGCACCAGTGACAGTGCCCTGGCCAGCAATAGCACCAGTGCCAACGTAGGTAGGTATCTACCTAGACGGCAGGGGTGTCTGGCCTTTTCTGGTGGATTCCGACACAATCTCAAACCAATTTTTTTTTCTCCCCTACCTACTTCTTGCCTCCTCCGATCTTCAAAATCCCTTTTTTCCCTCCCACACCTCCCCTCTCCCACAAAACTCTTCCCACCTCACACAAAAAGGGATTCTTATTCCTTCAACCCCATCCCCTCACTGACACATCACTTTTCATCACTTGTTCTCTTGTCTTTCCTTTGAAGCATCTTGGGAAATACAAGGCTCTGAACTTAATCGTAGTGCGTTTTTAGCACAACGCGACTGCCTAATAGACGATCCCGAGAGACGAACATTTGGAAGTCACACCCGACTTTCGGTTTTTCATTTCTCTTTTCCATCCTTCGGTTTGCTTGTTTTTATTCTCCCATACAAAAACAACAGCGGACCGGCTTCCCTTTGCTCGCACCTACTCTCAGCTGTCTTTTCAGTCGTTTTGAGAGTAATCCAAACTCGACGATCTCGCGATACCCTTCTGTCGACACACGAAGCAACCCAAACCTCCTTCGACACCCGCGATCAAACCATCCATCATGGCTGATCAACTCAACATGTCTGGCTTGAACATCCAGGACCAGAACCAGCCCCGCTCCTACATTCCTCCCCACATGCGTAAGATGAATGGTGGCCCTCCGGCTCCCGCTCCGGCGGCGGCGGCGGCAATGAACGGCGGCGGCGGCGGCGGTATCAACAACAGCGCCTGGGCTGGGTCAGTTTTCCCCATCGATGCGGAATATCCACATCTGTCCCCTCATTCTTGATGCTGGAACGACATACGCTAACCGATTCCTGCAGTAGAGGTCAACAGAATTTCGATGCTCGTGCGCCTGCCGGTGGTGACTGGCCTGCCATGGGCGGTCCCGGCGGCCCTGGAGGTCCTCCCGGCCCTCCTCCTGCCCAGCAGCAGTCCTTCCACCCTCGCGGTGGTCGCGGTGGCTGGCAAGAGGGCGGTGGCCGTGGTGGATACGGTGGAGGCTACAACGGCGGCGGTGGCGGCCAGCAGGCTCGTGGCTCTGGCGATGGCCAGTGGCGCGACGGCAAGCACATTCCCGGCCCTGCCAACCCCCGCATCGAGCGCGAGCTCTTCGGTACTGGTGTCGACGACGCGTCCAAGCAGCAGACCGGTATCAACTTCGAGAAGTACGACGACATCCCCGTCGAGGCCTCTGGACATGACGTCCCCGAGCCCGTTCTCACCTTCTCCAACCCCCCTCTCGATGACCATCTCATCAGCAACATCGAGATGGCCCGCTACAAGGTTCCTACTCCGGTCCAAAAGTACTCGATCCCTATCGTTATGGGCGGTCGCGATCTGATGGCTTGTGCCCAGACGGGTTCCGGAAAGACTGGTGGTTTCCTCTTCCCCATCTTATCCCAGGCCTTCATCAACGGCCCTTCTACTGTTCCCCCGAATGCCGCCGGTGGTTTCGGCCGTCAACGCAAGGCCTACCCCACATCTTTGATCCTGGCTCCTACTCGCGAGCTGGTTTCCCAGATCTACGAGGAGTCTCGCAAGTTTGCGTACCGCTCTTGGGTCCGCCCTTGCGTCGTCTACGGCGGTGCCGACATTGGCTCCCAGCTCCGCCAGATCGAGCGCGGCTGCGACTTGCTCGTTGCCACCCCGGGACGTCTTGTCGACCTCATCGAGCGTGGTCGCATTTCCCTCCAGAACATTAAGTACCTTGTTCTTGACGAGGCTGACCGCATGCTTGACATGGGTTTCGAGCCCCAGATTCGCCGCATTGTCGAAGGCGAGGACATGCCTAATGTTCAGAACCGCCAGACGCTCATGTTCTCGGCTACCTTCCCCCGCGACATTCAGATGCTCGCCCGCGACTTCCTGAAGGACTACATCTTCCTGTCGGTCGGTCGTGTTGGTTCCACTTCTGAGAACATCACCCAGAAGGTCGAGTACGTCGAGGACGTCGACAAGCGCTCTGTCCTCTTGGACATTCTCCACACCCACGGTGCCGGTCTCACTCTCATTTTCGTCGAGACCAAGCGTATGGCCGACTCCTTGTCCGACTTCTTGATCAACCAGAACTTCCCCGCCACTTCTATTCATGGTGACCGCACTCAGCGTGAGCGTGAGCGCGCTCTGGAGTTCTTCCGCAATGGTCGCTGCCCTATCCTTGTCGCTACTGCTGTTGCCGCTCGTGGTCTTGATATTCCCAACGTCACCCACGTCGTCAACTACGACCTGCCCACGGACATTGACGACTACGTCCACCGCATCGGTCGTACTGGTCGTGCTGGAAACACCGGTCACTCCACTGCCTTCTTCAACCGCGGCAACCGTGGTGTTGTTCGCGAACTTCTTGAGCTTCTTAAGGAGGCCAATCAGGAGGTTCCCAGCTTCCTCGAGACTATTGCCCGCGAGTCTTCCTACGGCGGTGGCCGCGGCGGCCGTCCTCGCGGCGGTGGTCGTGGACAGGGTGCTAACCGTGACTTCCGTAAGTTCGGAGGCGGCGGCGGCGGCGGCTTCGGAGGT